TCTAGCAACTATCTAGGTTAAGAAAGAGCTCAAGGGATTTCAGGGGCAGTGAAAAGTTTGAAATGAGGAATCCAAGAACAACAGAAAGGAAAATATGATTATTTTATAATATTAATCATTGTTGTATGTGTATGAAAATGAAATTGTATTTCTAATGAATTGATGTGCTTTTCATGTTTGTATTACTTGATATTATTGTGAATTGTGTTTGTAATGAGAAAATATGCTCATCCTTGCAAAACCTATCAGGGAATAAAGATGAACGATCTCTAGAGACTTGTTAGGTTATCAAAGCTACTCATTAGCAATAGGTTAAATAATGTATGTAGGGAGTGGCAACTATTATACCATTGTAACTTTATTGTAAATAGTAATGATGACTAAGATATTATATTTACCTTAGAAATGACAATAGGATATATGATGTATCTTTTGATAATCTACCAGTGGTAGGATCCACCATACTCTATGCCTGTACATATACAAAGGTTTGGTCAGACCACCAAATGCGTGAAATTATGTATATACTTTTTTGGGTCATGATCAACATGGAATACCAAGCCATTTTACCATAGAGCGAATCACGGGTACTGAAGTGGTAACTGATGCGGGTGATCTTGGTGAAGACGAAGATTTATCCCCAGAGGAACTAGTAGAGATAGAGGGGTGGCTTTGGGATGATGACTAGTATCGTCTTCAGTCTTTTTGATAGATATACTGCTTAATAGGACTTATTTTATTTTGTAAATGGTGTAGATGAGTCCTAATGTATTTTGAAATTATATTTTGTATATATTAAGCTCTAGTATATTAATGTGATCAATATACATGAATGTTATTTCAACTTTTTACTTAAATTCATTTATTTCCCAATGCTTTATTATTGAAAAATTTTATAAGTCTGAGTAATTTAAATGAAAGTTTTACATTTTCACACTTCATATTCTGAACACAAGCAAATTTTTATTTAATTTCCTCTTTCCAATTCTAAAAGTATTTTCTTAGATTGTATAAATAAATAAGGATGTTACAAATGAAATTCAATATAAGTATATTTTTCTAATGTTTCAGTGAAAATATAACAGTTAAGGTATAGTTTAAACTTTGATATTTATATACCTTTACAATTTTAACAAACAGACTTATCAACAGGAAAAAAAAGTTTAATTTTATCACATTTTCATATTACATGTCTTACAATAAATTCATTATATTTTCTTTACTTTGTCATAAATTATATATGTTTAAAATAAGAAATTAAGGGCTTTATAGCCCATGTCTTGTAGGGGACAAAGCCTAACTAACTTGTATTGTAGGCAATGGAATCTTTGCTAACCTATCCTAACAAGCACTAGAGCATATTAGGATTGGTTTGAATGTGGGCTGCTAGTAGTGACCATAGAATGAGAATAGTGCACTTATGTTCTATCTCTGATAAAGAGAAAAGATGTACCTATGATATTAGCCAGATTGCAGGCACAAAATTCTCAATGTCAACCTAAAAATGAAATGTTGGATAATTAATTAAATACTCAATAGAGAATTCACAAACAAAGACTTTGATTGATTGTTTGCTTACTTGATTTTGATTTACTTTATTTAAGCTTAAGTATTGTCGTATATGATTGTTTATGAATCCTTGTACTCACCCTTCTTTGTTTTATGTCCTTTAATAATGATATAGGTGCAAAATGACTCCTCTAGATGGGTCAAAGGAGTAAGGGATGAGTTGATTAGGAGATGACTTATAAATGTCACAGCTAGTTTATATGATATTGAATTATGTGTTTAAAGGTTACTACATAAACCTTTTGTTTCTGTTATGATGTATTAGTTACGTTAGGAGAAAATAAAATGGTCTGTAACCTAGTTTTTAATTTGCATTCAAACTTCTATTTATGCCTCTTCTAAATTAATTAAATATTATTATATTGTAATTTGGATAATTAAAAATTGACAAAATAATTTTTAGAAAACTATTATCCTTTTTTATTGGATAAAATCTCACAAATCTCTCTAATTTGGGTTGATTTTGGGTCAATTTCACAAATTTTTGCTCTAAATTCTAATTTCTCTTTTTACATCTTATTTGTAAAATGTAATTAAGATAATTGAATTTCTGTTTAATAAGAATGAAAAAATTTGGAGTACGATCACTATTTTTAAATTGAACACAAGGCTAGAATGTATCTCGTTGTGAAGTCCAATTTAAATATCTCATATTTATTTTACTAAATATAGTTGTGCATTTTATAGATTGCTTTTAGTAACAGACATTATAGATATTATTCCTATTGCATAGGAAAGACAAATCTTGTCTTAGATGACTTGCAATTTAGTTATTATGAACTGATTCAGGACAATTGGTTTCTCCTGTGTTATATTCAAAAAGTTATTATCTAATTCCTTACATGATTTATGTTTTTATTAATTGTTAACTACTTATTCTAAATCTATGAATAGTCATAATTAATAATAAAATGAGCTCATCTTTCTATTGTTGTGGAAGATCACTCCTTCATAAGTTATTTTTCGTAGTTGAACTGTTTCTTTTTATTTTCTATATCTTAATCTTTAAGAGTGTATTTAGTATCTTTCAAAATGGTAGTTATTTGTAATCTTGTTGAAGTTATTTATTATTAGAGATCTTGACAAGCCTATTAAACTTTCATTTTAGTAATAAGGAGAAGGGTTTGTTGTATCCACACAAATTGATAGATAAATTGGTAATTTATATTATCCTAATTAAAATACTTAACAAAAATCATTAACAATTATAAAGATGTTTGTTTATTATGATTTTGTAAAATATAGATTATAAAATTGTATTAATTATTGTTATTTTATTAATTATAGAACTAAAATGACAAAGGAATCAATTTTAAGGAGTCAAAAGAGTACATAAACCAAAAAGTTGGAATCTGTACTCTTTTGTTCCAATGACCAAAGTTAGGAAATCTAGCATTGGTTGACAAAAAAAAAAAAAAAAGAGCAAGCTTCTAACCCATGAGCATTTGCCAACTTAGTAATTGCGTTCCAACACTAATTATTGGAGGTTGCAATATTGAAATTATGCAGAAATATTGTTTAAAAACCTATTGCTAGTGTTTTGATGCCCATTTTAGCCTCTCAAGGTCTAGAAAGACTATAAACTTTATAAATAGATTATACAAGGGTCCTTTTTATATATAGAATCATTTTTACATTTTCAATTATCTAACCTTGAGTTTAGGACTTTCTCTCCTTTTTTTTGTTAATATTTTTTATTTTAAAATATTTCAAAGACTTATTGTGTTTTTTCAAGTCACTATGTAATTTATTGATTTATTTCTTTTGCATTAGTTATATTATTTCTTCAAAGCATGTCATTCCATTATATTGTGAGCTCAAATAGAAATTTGAAGAAAAAGTAGTTGTAATTTGACCCAATCTTTACGAATTAATACGAACTCTACTCATTAAAACAATATGTGCTTTTGCCTGTGCTATTTGCATATGTAAATTGACTGAACAAAAAATACGCATCATAATTTATAAAGCAACATAAGCATTGTATTCACCTTCTTATAATTAGAAATCTAAAAATTTGTATTCAATATAATAGAATCTAAATTTTTAATCGGAATGAATTAATTGCTTAATATTAAGAGAAAAGTATGTTTGAGTTTTGCTAACGCATTCCTTTGCATATATTTCATTTACAATTTTAGTGGTGTGCATAGAACCATAAAAGTAATATAGCTTCTGATTTTCACAACGGTTTTCTCCTTGCTCAACACATGAGTAAAAAATATTGGTCCCTAAAAATATTGTGATAAAAAAAGTAAGATATAATTATAATTTTAGAAAAAAGTCACATGACAAGTTTTGTTAGATTAATTATTGTTCACCAAATTATTATGGTATTATTTGGTATTTTTAATTACTTTGTATAAGTTATAAATGTAAATGGTAATGAATTTTGAATATGGAAGTTGAGTTTACAACTCTTAGAGCATTTCATGGAGTTTGTCTAAGTAAGGTTTAATCTTCTTTTTTTGTCATTTTTCTTTTATTTTTAGACATTTTGAAGACTTCTTTGTGTCTTTCCAAGTCACTATGTAATTTATTGATTTATTTCTTTTGCATTATTTTCATTAAGTTTTTCGTACATATGTATGGCTAGTTTCACTTTATATTATGATGAGATGAACTTTTGTTTAAATCTCCTATAATATCAACAAATCTTCATTTTTATTTACTTTCATTTATGTAATTAGGTGAGTTTCTTTGCTTTTAATGCATTCTTTGATCTGACCAACTCTAGAAAAATGTTAAACTTGATTTTACAAATTGAAAATTGTTCTTGAGTTTGATATGAGTTTTTCATCATCGTTATTAACACATTGAGGAATTCGTTCGATGATTATACAATTTTTCTAAGTTTTTTAATTATAATACAGGTGCTAATTAGGCTAGCCTAAGGAACTAGGAAGTTTTGGTTGATTGCTTTGAGATTTTTCATCTAAAGAATTGGAGTCAACTCAACCTAAGAGAATGTCACCTTCATTGCATGAGAAGTAAAGTAGATGAGATAGCTTTGAATATAAAAGAGAAAAATAGAAGTGAACCCAATCCAAACCACTTTTGTCAAGTGCAATGCATGTCATTCCATTACATTGTGCGCTCAAAAAGAAATTTGAAGAAAAATACTAGAATTTTGGCCCAAGTCCCATGGATTAATATGAATTATACTCATTAAAGTAATTTGTGCACCTGCTAGTGCTATGTGCATCTGTAAGCAGACCGAACAAACAATACGCATCATAACTTAAAAGAGCAATATAAGCATTGTATTCACCTTTTTATAATTGAAAATCTAAATTTTTTTTTATAATAATTTGTGCAAAATACAACTTATTTGTCATATATGAACAAAAAATGAATACAAAAGCTTATAAAGAATGTTAACAAAAACAAATGGTTTATCGTGTATTTCTACTAAAATAGAATATAAATTGTTAATGGGAATGAATCAATTGCTTAATATTAAAAGGAAAGCACGTCTGGTTTCCGCTAAAGCATTCCTTTGCATATATCTCATTTACAGCTTCGGTGGTGTGCGCAGGATCATAAAAGTAATATAGCTTCCGATTTTCACAAATTTTTTCTCCTTGCCCAATGCATGAGTCAAAAACATTGGTGATCCCTAAAAGCATTGTGTTAAAACAGTAAGAATGTGTATTTATGATTTATACATGACAATATTTGTTAAGATTAATTGTTGCTCACCAAATTTTTCAGGAGAATTTCTAATTACTTTGTATAAGTTGTAAGTGTCCATGGTAATGAATTTTGAACTTGGAAGTTGGGTTTGCAACTCTTGGAGAGTTCCATGGAGTTTGTCTGAGTAGGGTTTAATCTTTTGATTAATATCTTCATTGCAATATTGGGAATGCAATGTTCTAATAATCAAACCAGGGATGCACCCAACTGGACCAATGCTAACAATCACAAACTTTCGTGCTCCTAAATCATAAATTTTCTAAAATTTAAAGGTAAAAAAAAGGTAGATTAGTAAAAGAGAATGTGAAGTACTATAAAATGTATACATTTTCTCATTTGATCATGTCAACTCAAATAATTCACTGAAAATTACCTTTATATGTGAAGTAAATTGCTTTAAGAGGAAACTTGCATATTCTTCGGGATTGACGTTGTTGTTAGTTCCCATAACATTTCTCAAATAACCCAATGTGTAATCATTAGCTCCAATTGACAGTAGATATATGGATTTGGATAAGTAACGCCTCAATTTTATTTTGTTAGACAAAATTCTTGGAAGATCATGCTCCACAGTTGAGGTGAAATATTCAATTTGTTTGTCTAATGACAAGTATTCTCCCTTATACACATGAAAATAAATAAGTAAATTAGTGAGTAACCCACAATTTTTAAATTGATTAACAGAATGGTATATTTTCTTTTTTTCTTCCACTTACATCTCCAGTTGAATTTAGGATTCCAGATGAAGCTGATGCATAGTTAATTCCTGTGGCTATTTGATATCTCTCAGTTTCAGAAACACCCAGGTATGGAGGTGGCATCGGTAAACCCAACCTAATAGCTATATATAAAAAGAAAAGAGAACAAAGGTAGAAAGGTACACATAATATGTCAAAAAAAAATGTCTTGTAAACTATGAGCATTACGCTACAACAATGTTACACAAATATTGTAACTTTTCACATGGAGACCTTGAAGTTAGCATTACTCATATTCTTACACTTTTATTAGAAAGTTATATTCATTTATTTTAGTACTTTAAGATTGCATATATGATTTAATTGAAAAATTAATTTTTTGAAAAAAAATATTAGCTATCTACCTACAAGGAAATAATTGTGTAAATTCAATACAATTAACTTAAGTTTTTTATTTTTAAATCAAAATACTTAATATTGATAAATTATTATATTAGTTACCACAACAAATTCTATAATTTAATAAAGTTTAAAGATCTAAGAATAAGAACTTTTTTTTCTCCTCTCTTTATAACAAATTTGTATGAAATGAATTATTTAATAACCAAACTTTTGTTAATATTTATTACTAATAATAGGATAAAGAAAGAGTATAAATACATGTGTTCAACATACCAACAATGTCTGCAAAGGTTTTTCCATTGCTAAACCTGCCGGTGGAGCAGTTATTGAAGTCTATGCCATGTGGAAATGTGTTTGCCTTAGCAGGTGTGTTAAGATTGTTATTATTTCCAGCATCTACGCTAGAATCACCAAAAACATACAAAGCGGGTACAAGACTCTTTGTACAATAGGCATTGGCCAAGAAAGTTTGGTGGATTAGGATTAGAGATATAATCCAAAAAAGTTTGACGCTAGCCATTTTCTCTTGTACAACACTTGAAGATGGAGAATGCCTTAAATAATATTTTTAATTGGAAAACTTTATTTTAAGAGAAACAACAACTCAAATTAAAAATCTCTAACTTTAGGTGAAAAGTAGTTTTAAAAACTATATAAATTTAGCAAAACAAATTGTAATTGAAATGTTTGAGTTCTAAAAGCATAAAATATTTTGGTAAAATGTAGTTGTAAATGTTAATAATTTGCGTAATCATCTTTTAGCAAAGACTTTATTGTTTAATTCTCGTGTTTCCATGTCAGAAGTCACACATAATAAACAAGGATTCTTGTTATAGCTTTTCCTCTATAATTAGCCAAGCTTAAATTTTGTATAGCTAGAATTGCAATGCATGATAACTAAAAAAATAATAAATTAAAATCTATATAGAAACATTTTTATTATTATTTAGTTAAAAATAAATTAAGAAAATTTTCGAATATACATTCAAAAATTAGTTTCTAAATTCAGTTGATGTAAATTATATAAATAACTTGAAGCATGTTTAAATTATCTCAATATATAAAAAGAATAGAAAAAATTTATCATTAAATACTAATTCATAATGTTTATAGGGAAATTTCAAAACAAAGTAAAATATTTATGAATATAAAAAGGCATGAATATTGAAAGTCAAACTTAGAAAATAAAATATTAAGTACAACATTTGTTTTTATTTATTTGTCTAAAAATAAAAGAAGCTACATAGAAAAAAAAACATCCAAGATTATTATCACCCAACTATTAAGAAAAAATGAACTATTGTATGATGATATTTTCTTAATACTTTTATATAAAAAAAGAATTCATAAAGAAAATATGTTCACTAAGTTTGCTCAATTTAGAGTTAAAATGAAATATTTGTGATTTTTTTAAGTTGTTGTATGAAAGTAATGTTTTTGCGCATGTTACTGAGAAATTTATTTTCATTTTAAAGGACATATGCGACATTATTTTATTAATATTTTTTCATAAAAATAGATACTATTAAGAAATATCCTTATTGGTTTGATGAACTTTGGACTATAGTTATGCTTTTTTTATTGAACAACTTCTAAGAAGTAAGTTGCTATAAGTAATAAATAATATTTTTTTAATTTTTCTAAAATTTGAAAGTGATAACTTTTTAATTGTATTTTTCCTGTGAAACTAGATAAAAAAAAAGTGATAGAATACCATTGCGTTTATAAATTTTGGAGGTGAATTGAATAATTTTTTATCTTTTTAACATGTTAAATTGTGCCCATTCTGTGACATGTATTGAGAATTTATAGCACGAATTGATGTTTGTGTATAGTTAGACTTCAAAAGTACTTTTACTTAAAAATAAACATGTTGAGAAGAATTGTGACATTTAGGCGCTAGGCGAGGGCAGTGAGTAATCAGGGCCGTTCTTGACCTTTTTGAGACCCTAGGCAAAATAGAAAATTAGGGCCCTTTAAAAAAATTATAAAATGTAATAAACAAAATAAAAATATATATTAATAATTTTACTAAAATAATACTTTTTCTTAAGTAGTTATAATTTTTTCTAATAAAATTATAAAAAAATATTCTTTCATTCAACCAACTCTTATGTTATATAATTAACTACAAAAACACAGAAGATCATAAAAAATGAGTTCTACAAGCATTTTGATATGCAAAATCATCAATGATAACATTAATATTAATGTTTTTTAAAAATTCTTTATTGATTGATAAAATATGAGACCATTCAACGGTTCTTGTAACATTGATGACCTTAGGTAAGTTTTGATTAACTTTAACTTTAAAAAACTTCTTTCAGTTGATGATATAGTCATCGGGACCGTAAAAGAAATTCTATAATTGATTAAAACATTTAAATAATAATCTACAAATTTGACAAACTCAATAACTATTTAATTTTTTGAAGAAAACTAAAATTCTCCATAAGATTTAATGTTAAGAATATTAAAATTTTGGAATTAAATGATGTTTTGAGTCTACAGAGGTCAATGAGTCGACTACTTTTATAGCAAGTGAGGTGCGAGAAATTAAAAAAAATTATTTTTCTATTTTTTCCAACTGCAAACGGTAAGAGCTGAATTTTTTTTCAAGTAAAAGTAGGACACGATTTCTACTTTGGGCCCTAGGTGATCGCACCTCTAAAATACACTCAAAACCGGGCCTGGGAGTAATCGTCGGTGCATTGTAGCACGGACAATGAGCGGCTATTGATAGGCTTCCAGGCGAGGACGGGGAGTGATGGCTGGTACAATGTGGCACAGACAAGGAACAGCTCGTAGCAGGCTTCCAGCGGTAAGGGACATATGAATGAATTGAACTTACACTGGAATGAGAGGGATTTAGAGACTGTATATACAGTTAAGGATAGCTTAAAGAAATTGATTAGGACTATCTATACTAACAAAATATATTTACTTTTCGATGGCTTATCACTTAAGAACTCCAAAGTTAAGCGTGCTTAATTTGGAAAAATTATGGATGCGTGACCTTCTGGAAAGTTTCCTGTAACGCTCTGAATTTTTAATATAATTTTATTATTAATATAAGTGTTTACGTGAAATTTCCTGTGTTATGTATTTATTATATATATATATATATATATATATGTTGTAATGAGGATATATGTATATGTGGTGATGTAGAATTGTATGAGTGTGTGGATGGTTGGAATTAGATTGAAAATTTGGCTAAGTGTTTGGTGCAGGTGTTCTCTGTAACGCTTTAAATTAATTTTCAAGTAATAATTTCACAAAATGGGAGTAATAAATTTTTATTTAAATAAAAAGATCTCATCATAGAGTTTCATAAAATAGTTCAAAACATAAAGAATTACAAATTTATATCAAAGACTGTTATATGACTAATTCAGTTATATCATAATTTCAAAAATCTAAGTCCTATAGCAGTTCATTCTTCTTTCACTGAGTCCGGTGCTGATCGTCTTGGTCACCTGAAAAATAAATATAAGGGTGAGTACTCTACTCTATCCAACACACATAAACATAGAGAGACACCTCAAATACTACACATTTGCTAACATATTCTAAATCATGCAACCACAATACAAACATCTCAATCTCAATCACAATCATCATTCATCATCTACTCCAATTCAAAATACAACCGGTGCACTCATTGCACTAACATTTCACACACGTACATTTACCGCACCTAGCCACGCTCACTGTGGCACTGTGATCACAGTATCACACCATGAATGGTCGTTGGTTAGCCCCGTTTCACAAATATCACGTGGAGAGTCACAGGTCACTCAGCAAAAGTGTTAGTCAGGGGTTTAGTCAGGAGGAGAGTGTGTGGCCTGTGGTGCACCCACGCTCACTGTTGGTGTTACCACCACTCTTTCTTCCCTAAGGTATCTCTACCCTCCTCATCTTCCACATCCCCAGTATATCACTGAACCATCCATAACATATCATACACGACATACTTTGCCCATATTCATTCGCATTACACGACACAGAGGTCCATATTCACTTACAGTACACAGTGCACAGGTCCATAATTCATTCACAATACTTGGCACATATGCCATTATTTCATCACATAACATATCAACAGGTCATCCATTTTCAACCATTTACATCATTCAAGGGCACGCAAACATGCTTATTCGCCCATATTAGGCTCAATCATTTCATTCATCACATTCAATATCAATTGCTCAACATGAATCATACACATTTTCAATCAAGGGTATGTCAACTGTAACATCCTCGTTTTTGCTAAACAATTAATTTATTAATATAGTTCTAAGTTAAAATATAGTTCTTGATTTTTTGGAGAAAATTAGGATAGAATTAACATGAGATGCTTTAGATAAAATTGTTAGGTATATTTTTAAGAAATTTTTGGTAATTTTTAATTTTGAAATTTTTAAGTTTCAAAAAGTATTCATTTGTATTGGTTAAAATTCCTATATAAAGCTAAAAATAATATTTTATTTAAAATAATAATAATAATTATAAAAAGTTCATATTTTATTTATAAATATTATTTGGAATATAAAAATAATTTGTTTTTGTAATTATTGAGCATTTTTGGATTTTCTGGTTAATTTTAAGTAAATTAGTTATACGCTCAAGCAGAAATTGCATGTAAAAGTTTTGGACACCAACTAAAGGAACAATAGTGTCAAAAATTATTTTATAATTATGTTTAATATATTTCATGATTATTTTTAAATTTTTGGATTTTTATCTAATTATTTCAATTAATTACAAAAAAATTAGTGAAAATTCTAATATTATATTATTATTTTTACTATTTAAGATAAGATCAATTCATCCAATTCATTTTCTTCTCTCTTGGATGCCGTAGAGTGCTCTTCTTCTCCTTCCAAAAGCTTTGAAATTTCTTTGGCTTTAATCTTTTAATTTTTCAAGTAATTTCATAAATTTTTTTTACTATTCCACCTATTTTTATCATTTTGAACACTTTGAACTGATTAAATTTTTATTTTTTCCCCCTCTTTTTGGGTGCTGGAATAGTGGCATGAGGGTGAAATTTTGTCCAAAATTTTTGTTTCTAAATTATGTTTTAGTTAGCTTAATCCTTCTATGTTTTATAAGAAATAATTTTGGTGCTTTTTGTTTTGTTAAAAATGCATTTGGGGGTTCAAAACTTTTGGTCTAGAGGTGCTATCCCAAGAGTGTTATGAGGGGAAAATAATTGTTTTTAATCACCTTTAGGCTTATAATATTCCATTTACATTATAGAAAATAATTGTAAGACAAGTAAGCCATTTTTGCGAAAATTAGAAAATGATAGTTTCAACTCACTAGGAGAGGATTGGATGATTAATGCCTCTTAACATTAATCATGATTATGTGTGATTATTTGGTTAGGATCGTGATTTGAGAAGTGGTGGAAAGAAGACGTTGGTGAGAAAAAATCGGTACACACTTCAAGGTAAGGGAGACATATCTATTTTCAAGGGTATAGTAAAAAAACGTTGAGAGATAGAGTGTTTT